CAAGCTGTTTGTATATCAATTTTTTTCTATATATATAATATTATTATTATAATAATTCTATATAAATATAAAATAACGAATGAAGTCATGTGTGCAAAATTTTTTTCCAAATCTTACATAATGTGCATAATGTACATATTCCAGCTAGAAAAAAATTGAAAAACATAGTTTAATACGATTTTTTAGTTAAGTTTTTATTCTCTATTCTAATAATAATTTTTATCCTGAATTACATCTGATTTTTTTTAATATCTATTCCCTTTTTTGTTTTATATTTTGATTACTTTTTCTTTTATTTTTTGTACATTTTTCAGTTTTTATATATAGAATTATATACATCATTTTTTATAGTCTCACCAGTTATTTTAACCAGTTCTCTTCCTCATCATAAAGATATCATTATCATACGTAGAAATCTGAAAATAGTTTAGTTATAAGAGAATCCTTGTGCATTCCATATCTTCAGAGAAGAATTAAGATTGCGTGTAACAGTAAACTTGTAATTATTTGCAAATCAGAAATAAGTTTCGTGTTATTAAGCTAGTTAATCTTATTCACAAGAATTTTTCTGTGTGAATTTTTCTTTTTTTAAAGGTAAATATATCATTTTAATAATATATAATATATATCAATAATATTACAATTTATTTCAATATAATAATATCACTTTTATTAACTATTATTAAAAATATGTTTTATAATTATACAATTTTTGTAAATATAAGATGATTGAAAAGAAAGAATATCGATTTAAAAAAAGTATTTCCATTGGACACGGCATTATATTTAAATTTGCAAAAATCATCATATTTTCCATTTCCGTAAAAATATTACATGAAAATAACTTGAATGTTAAAATATTTTATGCATTCATTAAAGAAATTATAATAAAGCTTAAGTTATGTAATGCAATCCATTTAAAATTTTTACGTAAATATTTTTACGTATTCTTAGGATTGTTATTTATCTATATTTTATTATAAAAATTTATTCCTATTTATATTAAATATAAAAAGTTATAAATATTCTTATATCATCTTAATATCATCTTACTCTGATGACAATTCAGAATTTTATGTCCATATTTTCATGAATTACTTTAATCATTTTTTTCAATTTCCAAGAGTTTAAATCATTTTGATTTGTCAAACTCATTATCATATAGTATCATGTGATATATAAGTAGATAGTTAGATTTGAAAAAAAATTCATATCTAAATATTTCGAAAATATCAGATTTTCAGAAAAAATGTTAAATACAAGAATTCTTCTTTTTTTTTTTTCATAAAAAACTGCGAAAATATTAATTTCCATTAAAAAATTGAAACTTAACTTTCAAATAACTTTGAAAATTTTCAATAAATAAAAAATAAATAGGATATATTTCATTTTTAAAACATAAAATTTTTGAATTTAACATTTTTTTAATAAAAATGCTTTATATTCGAGATATGAGTTTCAAATAAAAAATCTTACATATAGCTGCTGATGCAAAATAATTATTAGAATCAGTTTTTTTTTATAAGAATAAAAAATTAAATGTTTGTATTTTATAATTATAGGTGTATATTTAAATATATTAAAATATTAATATAAACACTATATTAAACATTATTTATAAAACTTTTGCTATTTAAATAATTTAAATAAATTTAAATATCACTTTCTAATAAATAAAAATTGCTAATTATCTTTAATATTAATATAATTCTATTAATTGAATTATATTAATTATAATAATATATTATATTAATTGAATATAATTAATATAATTTGATATTAGAAAAATTATTTTTAATTTTAATTTAATTAAAAATTATTTAATTTTAAAAATATATAAATATTGTTGGATTAAATTATTGAAGAACTAGAAATATAGTATTTTTAAATACTATATTTATTTGACATGTAAGTAAAATAAAGCTAAGAAAATATAATGAATTTAATTTTAATGATGTAAATGTAAAAAAATGATTTGATTTACAGAGGAATTAAATAACTATAAATATGATCAAGATTCATTTTTATCTTTGGCTAGTATTCTTTATTTTCCTATCATCAGGTAAGTTTTTGTTAAATTTTAAATATTTAAAAAAAAGTTAAAAACTTAAAAAAGGAATTAATTATTATTGCATAATTGTTATTAATAAATCCAATAATTATTGGAAACCATAGAAAAGTTTTTGAAACTGAGAAATTCAGAAAACCTTGAATTTTTCAAGTTTAGAATACATTAGAATGCATACATATAAAATTTTAAAATAAAATATTTTAAATATTTTCAAAATAGTCAAAGTTCATCATTTATTTAAGAATTATTTCATCTTATTTAAAAAATTATTTATCAAAAATATGTAAACACGATTTTTGATTTTTTAAAAATTTCCTTTTTAGTTTTGTATGTAATATAATATGAATTGTTAATTATAGTGAATTATTAATTTTGAAATTGTTCACAGATGCTGCGAATAATTTACGAATATTAATTAAAAATGTTTTCTTGCGTTTATATAACAGGTATTATTATTTACAATTAATAGAAAATTAATGAATTGAACGAAAAAAAAAGATTAATTATAATATAATTAATTGCATATTTAAATTTTATCAAGTGATTGTTTCATTTTTAGGAATGGCTTTTATATTGATAAAAATTTAAAAAATATTGATCAATTATTATCTCATGTACAAAAGAACAATAGTATAGTGTTTTATATAACTGGTTACTGGTGTGACATTAATTCTGATGACGTGAAACTAATAACTAATGGTAAGTTATTATAAATACAAATCAATAATTTAATTTTTATTTAAGCTTACATATTTTTTTTATATTTTTTTTCTCATTACTTATACATGCAATAGAAATTAAATGCTAATTAAAATGCTAATATTTTATACATTTATACGTTTTTATCTTATTATTATCTTACATGATTTGCAACTATAATATAAATTACCAATATTTATATATTTTTTTATTTTGTTATTATTAAGATTAAGTTGTTGTTATTAAGATTATATAATTAAATTGCTATTTTACTATTTAATATAAAATATATTAGTAATTTAAAATATATTAGTAATATCTTCAATAACAGATTATGCATTATTGCTTAAAAATTCTTAACTTATTTAATAATAAATTTATCAAGACTAAAATGAAATAAAATAAATTTTTTATTGATTTTCTTTTTTATTTTTTATAAAACAATTTAAAAAAGTGCAAATTCCTTAAAACTTTATCGAATTATTTAACGCTAATGAAATTTGAAATTTATTTGTCCGAAGACAAGAAATTTTTAAATATTAAGTATTAACTAAAAGAATTTCAAAATATATTAATGATGTATTATAAATTAAATATTAAATATATTAATGATAATTCATTTATTTCTGGAATTAACTGGTTAAAGAATCAATATCAGTGACAGCTTTTTAATAAATTTACTTTTCATTATTTATCAGTTAATGCTTAATTTTCATGTAACATATTATTACATACGATGCATTATTTATATGAAAATATCTAATATCATCCTTTCTAAATTGTTGCAGCATATTTAAATAATACGCAGGATAATATTCTAGCACTTGATTATCGGGATATTACGTATCAGGCTTATATAATTTCTACGATGGCAATCAACATACTTGGCGAACTTATGGCCAATGCTTTGAACAACATAGTAGACAGAGGTGTGAATCCAGAAAAGATACATATAATTGGACACTCATTAGGCGCACATCTTGCAGCAAAAATTAGTCGTAAAACAAAATTCAAAATTCCCAGGATAACAGGTATTATTCATTTTTCAAAAGAAAGAAGCTATTTAATGAAAAATAATTTTTTTTGTGTTAAATGATTTTTTAAAGTATATTCGATGATTCGTAAATTTTATTTCTCTATTTGCATTTTTTCTTTACCAATTTTCGATAAATGCAAACGAACTCTTTTCTTCTTATAGCTTTAGATCCTGCTGGTCCTTTCTTCTACATTCTCAATGCTCATTTGACGAATTCTGATGCTAAATTCGTAGACGTTATACACACCGATATAGGCATTTTGGGACTCGCTAAAAAAGTTGGTCATGTAGATTTTTATGTTAATTATGGTGTCAGACCGCAGCCAGGCTGTACGTCAACCAATCTGATATTGTTTTTGATAGGTTTGTATAAGACACATAGCTCTTAATTTTTTTTAGTTTTCGAATGATTCGTTACTTGGAATTTTTGATTAATCAATTTCTACCTTCAATTCATAATATAGCTTGCTTATTTCATCATTATATATTACAGATATTTGTAGTCACAATAGATCTGTCGAATTTTATGCGGAATCGATTAGAGACAATAACGCCTTCATAGGCAAATGCAGAAATCAGTGTAATAATGTATTTACTCCAATGGGATACGCTACACCTAGCAACGTGTTAATATAATTTTCATTTAAATTCAAAAGAATAGCATAAAAAAAGAAAATTTATATATTTTCTCTTTTCTTAAATTGTACTATTTTCTGATATTTTTTTTTATTATTATTATATATTTTTTTTAGGAAGGGTAATTATGATGTTTTCACAAATGCATATTCTCCCTATGGTCGAGGCTACGATGGGACTCGTGTCATAATCAATGTGTAACACATTATATTTGTTTATAAATTGATTATTTATTATATATATATATATATTTATTATAGATATATAGATACATAAAAGTATTTATATTAATATATATTGAAAATTCATTATGATATGTATTAATTTTGTATATTTTTTTGTACAAATGAAGTGAATTTAATTTTATAAAGAATTCTGAATATAAAATAAGTGACGAAAACAATATGCAAAATTTCTTTGCGAATCTTCCGTATATACGCAATTTCATTCAATTAATGAGATGATGAAAATATTTTTTAACTCGAGAGATTTAATTGGCTGAGTTTAAGAAAATATTTTATGATCAATATTTTTATCGCTTCTTTGATAATAATTATTATTGTAATAATAAAAACTTGCAAAACTTATTCGATCTTGCTGAATTTAAATTTTTCAATTATATTTTTCTGAATTGTATTTTCCTCATTCTACTATTAGAATTTTAACGTAATTCTAATTAAATAACATATATATATATAACATATATATATATATATATACATATTTTCTAAGAAATATATTATAAACTATTATTTTTATTTCGAACGATGCATTATAATTAATAAAATATGTTT